TGCAAAGCATACTGCTGCAAAATATACATCCTGGGGAGGTTATGGGCATTTACCATCAGAGGCTTATTAAGAAGAGATTAGCAAAATATGTTTGGTGGAATAGGTTCAATATAGCTGATGATGCCTAAGGAAGAGGAGGGGGTGTCCAGATTAAAGTTTTTAGATCCTTCCCAGCCTTATTCTTCTATGGACAAGTTATCCCTACATCTGCCTACATAGTTTTCCCTTGCTGTAGTTTATAGGAAGGAGCACATAGCAGGCCTGAGGTGCAAGAGACAGTCTATTTGGGACAAAGAAGTATTTGGGGAGCCAGGGATCAATTTATTACACAGCAAGTAAGCTCTCTTACCAACAAACACAATGTCAATAGGTAGAATTTTATCAGAGGACTTAACTATTCATCATAATTCCCATTTTACGAACAGGGAATGCAGGGTACAGAGGTCTAAGCTATTTGTAATGACACAGCAAGTTATCAAAACGAGCCTGAAAACTGGATTTCCTGGCTCCTCAAGTGACCTATCTGATGGACTACGTGCTCCGCCTGCTCTCCCTCCCCCCCGCCCCGCAGCAAGCCATGCAGGACTGTGAGAATCACCGCATTTCCTCATAAAAGTCTTGCCTGCAGCTGGAGGAAGTCAAGACTACAATGGTGTCGGTAACTTCTACTGTAACAAGAACACACATCACAAGCAATCATTGCCAAAGGGGGTGGGGGGGGAAACCCCTAAAGCTGCCTCAAGACTTGCACCTTGCAGAGCTGATCTTAGGCTGTTAGTCCCCGTTTCCGTTCTTTCACTTGCCTCTTTCTGTCTAACCTTTGACAGAAAGAATATATTCCTCTACCAAATTACTATCTATAAAAATAATAAAAAAAAAGAAGACAGAATAAAGGACATACTACTGATAAAGAACAGAATCTTTCTTTATACAAGGACAGAATATTTCGCAAGCATTTGAAAGTGAAGCATTGCCTCGGCCCATTGTGCTAAAGGAGCAGTCTAGCTCAGGATTTGCTGGCCACTTTCTTAAGGCTGCTGTAATTTAAGCCTGTAGGAAATCAGCATTAGAGCCTAAGATTATAAATGAAAATCTCTTGTACTAAAGTATTATAAAGCCAGTGGCAGTCCTTCTGCACTGTTCCTTACTGGACTGCATCGGCTTGCTTCCATTTCCTACACACTACTGCTGGAATCCAAGGATGACCCATACTTGAATCACCCACAGGAGGTCCTGCCTCTCACAACTGACTATGCTGAGACACACCAGGGTCCAAACTAATTTTGAATTAATTTGCAAGAACTCTGCAAGGCTCTAAGCCCCATACACAGACCAAACAGAATTGAAATTTACCATTATGAGTAAAACAAAACAAGAATTAAGAGAATTAAAGAATAACAAATTAAAAATACATCAGGAATGCAAAAGTGGGAAACATCTCCCAGAAGAATCGAGGACAGTGTTTTAATTGGTCCTTTCCTAAAAAAAAACAAACAAACAAAAAAACACCAACAAAAACCAAAACCAAACAAAAACAAAAAAAAACAAACCAAACACATAACCAAAACCAAACCAAACAAATAGGAAAAGGCAACCGAAAAAAAAGAAAAACCCAAACCAACCCCAAAAAGGCTTCTGCATCACCAGAATAAATATAATCAAATTCTTTGCATACTTAGGTCTTTCCTAGGTTATTCAGAAGGCATATTCAACTTTTGATGTATGAATCAAGGGATAGTGCTCACTACCATAAGATACATTCCACTGGGGCTCAAAGTCTTTAGCAGATCCACACTGTTAGTACTTTCCCCAGATGGTTTCACATTCATGTTCACCAACACTCAGCAAGAACCGTAAACAAACCCCTTCCCTCAGATGCACACATACAGTTCCCATTGACTTTGCTGGAATTTCAGATGACTTCAATAAGAACTTCATATGCATGCAGAAGGGCAAAACTTGGCTCTGCACATTTAATAAGATTACATCAATAGATACCTTATAAATGAAGGGCAATGCAGGCCATACTGAAAAATAATATAAACTGAAAACCCAGAAGTGTAGCCAAATAAGTTCAAATTTCAGCCAAGTTTTCCCAGAATAAAAAAAAAAAAAGGCACACATTTTGGGCAAGATGAAACAAAACCCCTGTAATATCTGATTTACCAGAGTATACTCTACCTCCTTTAGTAGGACAAAGTGTGATACCCAGCTACCTAGACATAAAACAATGATCTTACTGTCTCAGATATAGCAATGATATTGGCATATGAAACAATTAAGTAAAGGTCAAGTTAGAAGAGCTGTGATTTGCCAAGTCATTTTCTGCATCTATATCCCTGCTCTGTAAGATATAGATATGAAGCTCACTAAGATATGAAGCAAGCGAATTTAAAGCTTAGCAGAGTGGAAAAAGTAATTAATCATATTATATTAATAACGTATTTTGAAGGTACTCTAATAGTGGTATTTTAATGATATTAAATGCTTGAATCCAGGAGTATCTATCTAAAACCTTTCAACCCTCTTGCCTGCCTGGCTAGACCACCACCACAAGAAAAATCCCACACAACTAGGAACAACAGCCCCCTTCCAAATTTCAAGTAACACATCTAACAACACAACTTCTGCCAGGTACGTTAGCTGACGCACACTAAGCAAAGCAATGCCAAGTGTTTTCCTCAAATTTATTCCCTTTATTTTACTTTTACTCACATTCCATGATGTAATTACCTGTGCCTTTTCACTGCCTCTTTAAATTATCTACCTGTTAAGATGAAGAATACTCTGACTTCTAAAAATCCAGCTACCAACTAGCTTCCTTCTGTTTGGCAGAAAACCGCGCATTAGGCTGCAAATACAAATTTATATACAGAAGTACTCAGGGATGGAAATCACAGAGCAGGCTGGACGTTCACGTTTGGTTTTTTCCCTGTAAGCAGGAACATCTCTGATGATTTTCACACTTAAACAGCAGAACAGACCTTATGAATCATTTTTTCTTCCTGGTTGGAACAACCCGTATTCCCTGTTGCATTATAATACTGAGTCACTTTGCATAAAGTTGGTCATTATAGCCAAGTCAAGGGAGAGTGGATGAAATGCTCTGAACTTAAATGTGCAGTAAGATACATATTAGGCTACTTCTTGAAGCAAACTATTTAAAATCAGGAGGAAAAAAGCTCATTACAAGATAACTCATGTAAAGGAAAACTACTTCATATATACTGGAAAAGTCCAGTAAATCTAGTATGACACTGATGATCAAACGGATTATAAAGACTTCTTTTCTTTTTTCTTCTTTTTAATGAAATGAGGGTCTGGCCTGTTACAAATGCTGAGTTGTACTGGTCATTCACACTGGAACACCAAGTAAATTAAACAGTGTGGTAGAATTTGTTTCTCCCAAACTATGGCACCATCAAATAATAGTTACAAGGTCTGGCAGGGCTCTGCTCTCTCAAAATCACCTCCCCTTCTAACATTATGCCCTGATGGTGGCAGCCTGCAAAGACACCCATCTGTCTCAGAACTCCTTCATGAAATTCCAGGTCTACTTTCTGTTGGCTCTGGTGGAACATAAGGTAAGCAAATTCTAAGTGTGTTGCAATGAACATCTATTTCAGCTTAGCCTTTGCAATTCTGGGTTCACAATGGGGAAAGAAGAGTCTTTTAGGACTCACCCCTCAGCCCTAGAGGGACAGGACTGATGCAAGGAGGGAGCTTTAACAACTCTCATTAATTAGTTTGTTTTAAATTAATAGCATGACTATTGGATGAGTGAAACAGAATTAGGTGTCCTGCATGATAATTTTCAAGAAAATTGATTTTAAGGAGTTAAGAAAAACAAACAAACAAAAACCAACCCCCCAGAAAACCCAAACAAAACCAAAACCCAAAAATAAACCACAAACCCAACAAAATACACTGGCCAAAAACTCTGCTTTTCTGCATGTCCTGTTTAAGCAATGACACATGAAGAACTTTATGTTCAAACTATTACCTAGTACTTTAAATAGGACACTAAGGGAATAAGATTTTTAAATGTATTCAAACAGCATGAGACTAATCCGCCACCTGAGAATACCGGTGCAAATCAGAGTAACTCCTCAGAGGTCAATTGAAGTACACCGGCACAAAACAGATGTGAGGCAGAGGGGAATCAGGCCCCATCTACCTCTATTTTAATGCAGAGGTTGCAGATCATCTGCAATGATAAAGTGAACAACATAAATATAACTGACATCTATTCAATTGATCGCACATCCTGCCGACTATTCACAGCTCCAAATATAGGGCTGAAGAACAATGGTTCAAGGAAGGGAGGCAGAAATCCTGGTTCTAACCCATTCACACATTCCTATCTGCTAATTCCTCTGACTTGAACTGCCTTCATCTCCCCACACTGCTAAATCACTACAGGTTTGACAGTCCCCTACCCCTGAAGAACTTCTTACCACAAAAGAAAATAAATACTTGGATGCATGGGAGATAAGATAAATGCAGAAATCCGTGCAAGCGTGAAAGCCTACACACAAACAAAAAAATCCCTAACATACCATATATATATATGATAGGCATTAACAAATTGATTAAGTATTTGGAAACCTGGCACTGAGAAAGAACGGTATGTGTGCAGAGAAGGAAGACAAAATTATGAGGCTATTGCAAAGTCTAGTGCCATTTGTTCTAATTTAAGAGGATCTGTAATTATTTTCTACAACTTCATGATGTCCTGAACCAGCTTACTCCTTCCCTGGCAGGCTGATAAAAGGATCCTTAGCAACACACTAAATATATTATGCAATGTATTGAATGCTACCAAGAAAAAGCACTGAATTACACTGAAACAAAGAACATCAGGTGCCAGCATCACTACCTCCAGGGAAAGATCACCTTTAACCATTTATCACATCAGTAAATGCAGGCATTGTCCTATGTCTCTCTTACCAGCACCTAATGGTACTTGCTACATTTAACAAAGTAAAGGCAAATTTTACCTCAAATCTACTTAGGCTTGAGCTCTTGGACCGAGACTTCTTGCGGAGATAGACCGAAAAGAACCGACGCACTGTGAACTTCTTCATGTTCATGTCCATTGCCCTGTCCCAGCTGTGGCGTGCAGCACGAAGGAGCTGCGGTGCAGCCGGAGAAAGCTAATGCATCCCGAATGCCCCCTATTTATATCCACAGGCAGGAGAGCCTCCAAAGTATCTGCTTCTGTTCATCAAGCCGGGCACAGCTAGACCCATAAGAGGTACATTGCCGGAGCCATGGGAGCTCAGAACCGGCTGCTAGCTCTTCCGAGCATAAAGGCGTTACACTCCCTTCTTGCTTTCCACTGTTTACATTTCAGTGCGGCGAGCCGAAGTCTCCCCTCACTCCCTCTCCCCCTCGCCTTAGGTCCTACTACATCCAATCAGGCTCTGCTTCGGCTGCATGCATAATCAGCTCCCGCAGATGACAGCTCCTGCGTCCCAGGCGTAGCAGGTCTGAGATAAATATTAGATGTGTCTATTGCTTTGCACTCCCTCCCTTCTCAGTCAGGCTCTTTCAATTTCCTGGTTTCCGAATCACATGGGGAATAGGCACATGCTGCACTTCTGTTTTTAGCTTGGAATTTCAACGCTACTATAATTACTGAGGGCTATGGTGGTCAGATCCAAGAAGAAATCAGCTCCCCCATGAAAGTCTCTTCCGGGAGAAGGCTGAAAGACACTATGACCCCGCTGTCAGAGCAGAAGGGTCTGAATCTCCTTTTATTCTGGGGAGTATGCAAAATAACAGTGCCTGAAAAGCTTAAACAGAAACTGAAAAGCTTAAAACCCTGTTCCCAGACTACCTGCCCGCTTTACATTAAAATACCTCACGCTGGCACAGCTCTAAAAATAGAAAGCACAATCTAAATGGGAACTATTACTGTTCTTACTGTACTACAGCAGGGAGCTACAGCCCTTGTAAGAGGTTAAATATGTACATCTATTTACAGGCTGTAATTTTGAGCTGCTCACTACACTGCAAGCATGGAGACTTAGAGCTGCACCCCCACCTCCCCCACATAATCACATTTTTCAGCTTTTCTTCAAAAACTAATGAAGCTCAGTGTGGTCCAGAGACTGAAGAGCTTTCTCTCCCTGCCGCACACAGCTCAGGCTCCTTGTCCTTGGCAGCCTTTCCTTTCTGACTACCAAGGAGCACCCAGACATGCCTTTCTCCCATAACCACATATGGAAAGCAAATGACTCTGATGACTTATTAATGACTCAGATTAATAAACCCAGGGAGAGCTGACACCACTACAGCCTGAGAATACTCTCAGAGGTTAAATGACTATAGCTCTCCAGTCAATTTGCTCTGAGACAGGCATTTTGCTTTAGTTGCATGTCTGGACTCTGCGTGAACTATGTTGGCTGGTCATGCCTGCTGCTACCTGCTTTATTTGCAGGTTCCCTGCCTCTTTCTTCTGTCTAAAGCTCACTACAGTCTATATGTACCTGGAAAAACACTTAAAAAGAAAATGGAATATTTTGGCATTTACGGTTTTATTAAAAAGGAGATCAGACTGGAAAGGGTACCATTTGTGCTAGGCTCTATAATTTCCTACAGCCTCTGACTCTTCTGTCTTGGACCACTGCTGTCTTCCACAGCCTAAGGTAAGTGCAGCACGCTGGCAGTCTGCTTTATCCCTTCCAAGAGCCTCCTTCTGCTTCTCCTTGCTTCTCTGAATCTCTTGATTTGCAACAAAAGTGTATCTTTTGGAGTTGTTTTCAAGGTGTTTCCCTGGTGTAAGCCACATCAAGCCTAGGACCGGTTTGCCACTACAGTCGTGCTGGTTCCTGGCTAAAGACCCTGGAGCAGAGGCAACCATCCCAGCAAACCCTGAAATATCTATAGGTATACCAGAACTCTTTCCACAGGAAAACTAATAAACAGGTAAAAGAAGCAATTTGGTTTGTGTAACTGTCAACGTCAAAAGTATTTGCTGATGCAGCCTACCTAGCCAAGTTTTATGTCTCCTCAGGACCTAGCAGCAGTAATATCCTAAGTGGCATAAAGGCCCCAGGCACTCACCTGATGATCTGACCTCCCTCTCCACCCTTGCCTGCCCTGCCACACTGCACAGCTATTGTTGCTGCTTCCTCCTGTGCCCTGCCCTCCCTCTGGCAAAGAGCTGTCCTGACACAAGTTAGGCCAGGTTTAGTGCTGACACAGGCTTTTGGCAGCCACATGCATTCCTACCTGTGTAAGCCACTTGGGCTTTAAAAACAGTAATCAGATGAGTTCAGGATAGCTCCCTGAACTTTTCCCATTACAGATACACCAAAATCCCACCTGGACAACTGACACCTTTGTTAATGCAGAGGAGGTGGTGATAATATCACACTCTGTGTGGTAATCAGCAGTGTATGACTGCGTGTCACTACTTATACTAGTAGATTTATCACAACCTTCCTGTCCCATTACACAGGTAGCTTTCACTTACAAGGACACACAGTCACCATTAAATGTGTGTGCTCTGCAATAAACTTTCAAGAAGATTACACAAACTATGACTTAATACCTATCAGGTACACTTCTTACTTCCAGAATTTTGGTTTTTTAACCACCAAAAAAGGAAAAAATAAGTTACAATATATTGGTAATTTATTGTGAAAATCAGAGCAAAGATAGGCTTTGATGCTGAACGTTAGACTGTAACATGAGCAGCATGCCTATGCTAGGGGGGCAAGTCTCTTGAATCCCTGCCAAGACACAGGCATGGAAATAGGCACGATCTCCTTGCTTTCTTACTCCCCTTTAAACAGATGATTAGGGATTAAATACAGGACATCCAACCACCAGTGCTAGGATACTGCTCTCCACCTACTGGGCACTGGAGCAAGAGGTGTTGCAGAGAATCTTCCAACTGTAAAAAGCAAAAGCAACCAAATTGCAAAAACGTATACAAGAGTACAAATACAGAAATAAAACGTGTAAAACATAAGCGTGTAAAACTAAAGCATATAGGTATCTGAAGAGCAAATTCTACTACTGTTCCACTCGCATGGTATGCTTCAAGACATGGAACTTAACTTTGCTTCAGAAAAGCAAATAAGAAGAGGCTTCAAAAACATTAACTCAGACTTTCAGCAGTAAGACAATATCCACTCTTCCCAATGACTCTAATAAGAAGGTGCAAGCCAAAAAATAAATTAGAACATTCATCATTTTATTCATAGACGTGCAACTGTCAGATCAACCTACAACATGAAAAATTCACTTTGCACTTAGAAATTCATGGCTGTAAATTGTGTATCAGCTCTTCTCTGAGCACTTTCAACTGCTGAGGAACTTGATGGAAAAAGAAATTCACCAAATGTCTCTGTTTAAGAAAAGAATAAAGAACAAAAGCAGTGGAGGCGGCATATGATGCATTGTCATCAACCAGTAATACTCTATATACTTAAATATACTTTTTAAAGCTAGAATAGTATTTACTGTAGCATAAAATAAATAAATACAAGACCACAGCTGCTTCTACTTCTAGCAAACTTAACAGCAAAATAAAGTTTACTTCAACAGGAAAAGGGCTTAAAAAAGAAAGAAAGAAAAAAAGCCCCAAACCAGGATCCAAGACAAACTCTCCATCAGAAAATACCTGAAGTTAGATATTACACAAGCTATGTTCCAAGTTTTTAAAGATAAATGGAGGATTCCCAATTAACATCTAATGAAAGCCGAAGGCCCTTTCCTCATGTGTACAGGTGGACCATACCAAAAGTAGTAACAGACTGAAGGACCCAGACTTAGGAAATTCACATGAGCCAGTGAAGCAGCCTGCGCAGAACCCAGGCAAAGAGGATGTCAGTGGCCAATGTCAGATGAATCATCGATTTCTGAAGAAACAAAGAGCTAATTGTTTGCATGAAAGAACACTCCAGTCCAAGATACCTACCACAAAACACAGGCTGGATGACAAAATTACTGACAGAAATTTTGTATTACTGTATTTCACAGCACATCAGGCCCTATTTCTGAAATGGACCTTCTTATTTTTTATGTGAATCAACAATTTATGAGCAAGCCCACAATGACTCTGCCACTTGAGCAAATGTAGTGATTACTCTAAAACCAAAAATATATAAGCTGATATTATCTTCCTTGCAAATGTAATCATTATTATCTATTCCATCTGAATAAATTCATCAGAAAACCAGAAACAAAAATCCACGGTGAAGTAAGGAAGCATCAGAAGCCTCTGACACAGCAGGCAGAACAAAGAGGAGTAACAGAACATGGCATGCAGAGAAAGAGAAAATGAGAGTCCCACAATAGAGGCCCAAGAGACAACGCTACAGAAAAGGTGAATTACACAGTACCATTTATGTTCTCATTAAAGAAAATTAGGAGCAAAAGCAGATGTTTCCAAGAGACACCAATGAAAAGAATAAGGAACAGCACTGTCCCCCAGGTGATTAGATGGTACATGACTCTTTCAATAATTGCTGTTTCCTGATCTTGAATGCTGGAACAAATTTCCATGCGGCTTTTGTCTCAATGAGCAATTGAGATGGTTATTTTTCTTATTTCCTTATTGATGTTTTTTTAAAAAGATTTAATAGGGCTTTGCCCAGAGAAATGCCTGGGCTTTGATCTCATTAGACCAGTGTACCAGTGTGCTTCCCAGTATTTCCAGCTGCCATACCCAGTTAAATACCTTGTCCAATTTAGCATGCCACTTGCCACCAACCTGGTTTGCTGCCCTGCCACCACTGTGGAATACAGGCAGTGACTTGGCATCTCTTCTCACTAGCAGTGGTAAGTGATCAGCAGCATTGGCTGGATAGGGATGTAAGAAAGTAAGTAGGAACGTGCTTATTCTCCCTTCTCCCACCTCCTCCTGCTCCTGTCTGCATATCACAAGCTTCAGTAATTTTCCACCTTTTCCACATATGAACTATGACAAATTTGCAGCGGAAGTGCAGGTCCTTTCAGCCACTTTACGAATCAAAATCACCACTCTAAAGGAATAAGAAAGTAAAGTCAGACATCTTGTCTAACTGTGTTCAACAAACCACAGGACACAGTCTCTTCAGCCATAGCCTTCTCTACTCCAAAGAGCAACGTAACAGGCCTACAATATCTTTTTAATCTTGCACTTGTATTCTCAAGGTCTCAGGAGTCCAGGCAAGGCAGAGTTATCTCTTATACACTAATATATGTAATTCCTTAATTGCTAAAAGGAATTACCCAACACACTGGCCAATTCCTTAAGTGCTAAAAGCACTACCCAACACACTGAAAAGTGACTAGTATAAATGCAAGTGTAAGCAATAACAGGGGAGAATGACTTGCTTTGAAAAGAGGAGCTTTGCTCAACATGGTGATATTCCAATTAGTGGATTCCAATCAACAGCTTCAAATATTCTTAAAACTGGGCATCAACATAAGTTCTTGGTAGACTTGAAACTGATGTTTCGCTGAGATGCAAGTAGCTTAGATGAAAAGTTTTCTGTACTTTCCTCTCTAACAAACTACTTCAGCAGATGAGATTAAAAACATTTCCTTAGTGGCACTGAGAGGGCAAACCATCTCTGTATGTGTCATGCTGGTGCATAAGTGGTCTCCTTGCTGCAGTTGCCTAAAAATGTACTTCCTCAATCCCTCCTAAACACCCACTAGTCACA